ATGCCTGATAATGCTGCAATCAGCACTTGAAATGAAACTTTAAGAACATGTCACTTTTACTTTGATTTTCTTCTAAATGAATCTGACTTTTGAAGATTAATGACTGCAAGCATTCCTTTTTTATCAGGCTATCTGAAGTACTGTCTAGGTCTCAACTCACTGTTTACAGGCTTCTGATCACAGTGCCAACTACCCTACGTAAAAAACTGGAATTTCATCTGAGGGGGCAAGCTCTGTAAGTGATACTGAGTCTCTGTGAAAGGCAGGTGTATTAAAGAAGTGGGTTTAAAAAAGGAAATACTACTTAAACTTCAGAGGTATTGCGCTTTAATGAGTAGCTTCAGTAATTTGTCTTTTCATGTTGTGAGAATGGCCTCCTCAGGTCTTAGGGAGGAGAACTTTTAATAAAGTTTGTGTTCTTCTGACCCAGATGATCTTTGCAGAACCCACTGCCAGTGGATTTCTAAGTTAAACAAGAAGTGTGCATGTTGATCTGAAATCTCAGTAATAGGTGTTGTCTGGAGGTGATACATCTCCTAATATGGGTTCCAAATGATGCCAGATGACTTATGCCCACTCTCTCTGCATGAAAATAAAGTTAGACTGTAACTTTATGCTAATAAGCTCTGTGATTATCTTTTCAGATGCAATTACAAATAGTTTATTTGGCTTGTTTGTACACTGCAGGTGTTTAATCTATCATCTGAGTGTCTGGAGAGCTGCATTTCTTAGTGTAGCCACTCACAAACAGTGGACTTTTTTGGGTATTATCATTTTTATTGGTAAATTTCTAATCTGTCCTTATTTGGATGTTTTCTTAAAATGAAGTTCTACAACTCTTGTGACAAAGCAAGTCATCTCTTTCTCTTTGCTGGACTTGGGTCTGTATAGAACTGTAATAGAGAATTTTGCCATCTACTGAAACCACTTGTGTGAGCTAATAAGCAAGTGGTTTTCTTTTCCTGGTCTAAAATTCTAGATATTTCTGCAGATTACTGGTGGAAACAGTGAATCCTGTGACCCGTGCTGATTCCCTCAATTCCACTTTGTTGTTTTCACCACACTCTATTCATTGTAAGTCCATAGAAGCAGACTTGTCATTGGATGTCTTTATCATTTATTAAATCCTGTTTGTTTCAGTCAGCTTCCTGCTGGCTTAATGGCCAAAGTCACCTAATGAGTGTTGATAAGCGCTAATTGAGCTTCTTGACTTTTAGACTTGTCCAGATTCTTCTTTGCATATTCTGTCATCTTGTTCCTGCATGAAGGAACTTCTTGTTGCTAAAATAAACAAAGATGTAGTTGATGGTAGAGGAAAACCTCTGTCTGCTTTGACTTAGGTGCCTTGAAAAAGGCTGTGTCCTTTTTCAGTGTTGTGGTATAATTATAGAAATACTTGTTGTTTTCTGATCAAATCAATGGCAACATGAGACCAGTGGGTTTTATGCCTCTGATTATTTTATACATTTGTATGATTTTATACCTTTCACTTTTATATACAAATATGCTTTGTTGTTTTAAACTTAATTAAATAAAATTAAAAGTTAAGACTTTAAACTTATAGTTTCTAAACTTAATTACCTTTTAATAAGCTGGTTTTTTGGTGTTTTTTTATTTTAGAAAACCATATGATTCTACAAGGTCTTCTTTCCATTCATAATAAAATCTGCCTTGCTAAAACTATGTAAATTGACCCTTGTCAAGAGGAATATTTTTGAGAGGCATGATGATCACCACTTATTTTTCCTTTCTAATATGTTGTGATAATCTAAGGAGGAAAAGAACCTTTTCAAAAGCAAGCAGCTGGCTTTAAAAATGTCAGTGTATTGAATAAAATCCGGGTTGGCTTTTTTTTTTACTATGCTGGTAAGGCTACTAGTCAAATTTTTTAAAGCTTAAAGGCATTTTACATTTACAAAGAGAAGTGGTACTTTGATTTCCCAGTTTGCATTCTTTTCAGAGTTAATTAACCCAAGAAGCAGTTTTCATTCATCACTCCTGAATTTGAAAGTTGGACAGAAGGGATCATAAATGGTCCTGGATGCAGGTGAGCTAAGTCTTGGCATGATCTTGTGTGAAAGCACACCCCTCCCTCTGTAACAGATTCTGGAGCCTTGTTTTGTAACCAGGGGAGGTTAGATATTTTCCTCAGATACTGGAAATAATGGTGCTTTGAGTGCTTTTTGCTGTCCTGGAGAGTGCTCTCCTTTTGAGCATATGACAAGTCAGCATATGTCCTGACTTGTCTAGTGGGTGTTTGCATTCAGAGGTTTTGGCATCTGATTCCTTCAAAGACTTTGTGTATGTACAGATGCTGTGAGAAGCTGAGACAGCTTTCACCTCTGATACATTTGAGGAGAAAAACAGAGAAGCAGAGCCAATGGAGGCAGAACAGTCAGTGTAGCACAGTGAGTATAGGGTTGCTCTTCAGCGCAGTGCAGCAGCAGTGGTTGAAGGGGTCTTTCAGTGGGGGAAATCCCAAAGACTGCAGGTTGAACCCTTCTCCTCAGAGTTGGGACATCTCTGAAGCACAGTCACATAAGAGCAAATCAATTACAGTCCCATGAAACTACCTTGTAGGTCAGTATGCCTTTCAAGATGTGTAGCTGTGGGTATTGTGGAGTCATAAAAACAACTTGTGTTGGGAGGGACCTTAGAGATCATCTTGTTCCAACTACCCTGTCATAGGCAGGAATGCCTTCCACTAGACCAAAGCTGCTCAAAGCCTCATCCAGTCTGGTCTTGAACACTTTGAGGGATGAGGCATCCACAACTTCTCTAGGCAATATGCTCCAGTGGCTCACCACCCTTACAATAAAGAATTTCTTCCTAAAATCTAAGCCAAATCTCTCCTCTTTAAGTTTGAAACTATTTCCCCTTGTCCTATCCCTATCTGCCCATGTAAAGAGTTATTCTCCCTCTTTTTTTATAAGCACCATTTAAGCACTGGAAGGCTGCCTTAAGGTCTCCCAGGACCCTTCTCTCCCTTGCAGGCTGAATAAACCCAGCTCTCAGCATGTCTTCATAGGAGAGATGTTCATCCTTCTCATTATCTTTGTGGCCCTTCTCTGGACCCATTCTAACAGGTCCACATCATTATTGTGCTGAGGACTCCATACCTGGTTGCAGCACTCCAGGTGGGGCCTCACCAGAGGAGAGCGGGAGAACCACTTCCCTCCATCTGCTGGCCATGCTGCTTTTTGGATGCATCCCAGGAGGTGTCCCAGGAGGTTGTCTAGGCTGTGAGCACACATCCATAATAAACCACAAGTGTGTCTCTGTTATGCTGCTCTCAGTGAGTTCCTTCAGTCTGTACTCATGCCTGGGATTACCCCAAATCAGGTGCAGCATCTTGCACTTAGATTTGTTGAACTTAAAGAGGTTCTCATGAGCCAGCTTCTCAAGTTTGTCCAGGTCACTCAGGATGGTATCCCTTCCTTCTGCTGGGTCAAGTGCACTGCTTGGCTTCATGTCCTCTGCAAACTTGCTGAGGGCCCATTTGATCTTACCATTGTCATTGATGAAGATATGAGAGAGCACCAGTCCCAAAATGGAGCCTTGATGGGGACCATCACTGACCTCCATGTGGATATACAAGTTGTTGACCCAAACTTCCTGGCTGTGTCCATCTATCCAATTCCTTATCCACTGAATAATCTTTAAATCCATGTCTCTCCAATTTGGAGATAATGATGTCATGTGGGACCCCATCAAAGGCCTTACAGATGTCTAGGCAGGTGACACCAGCTGGTCTTGGCCCCCTTGTCAACTGTTGCAGTCACTCCATCTAGAAGGCCACCAGGTTGGACAGAGAAGAACATGAACTCTTAGTGGCTGCTCTAGACATTAGTACAGAAGGTATGTGTAATTATAAAGTATCTTCCACCATCCACAGAGGACATCTCTCAGAAAGATGGTGTTGAAATCACCATTGGTTTATTGTTTGCAAATGTTTGCGTTTACTTTTGTCTCTCTCTTCTTTCCTGCATCTCATGTCGGGTTGATACAGGTGGCAGAGTTGAGTCTTGGGCATGCATGATCATGATCTTGGGCATGATAATCACTGGTGATGTGGCTGCATAGGCCATGCAGCAACAAATTGGTCGTGCACCAACAAACCAAAAACAATTACCTATTAATGTTTTACTAATGCTCCCCTGTGCACACTCCAGGCTTGCAGGCCTCCAGGCTTTTAATTTCCTAAGTCCTATTCAAATCAATAGACTTATCTATTGAGTCATAAAATCAGAGTAATGTGGGTTGGAAGAGACCTTAAAGGCCATCTAGCCCAACCTCCTTGCAATGAGCTGAGACATTTTCAACTCAGTCAGATTGCTCAGAGCTCCATCCAACCTGACCTGGAACACTTGAGGGATAGGGCATCTACTACCTCTCTGGGCAACCTGTTCCAATCTCTGGTTTTGAAAGGTAATACCTGGAATACTCCGATGTTCATATTCTGACTGGTAAATGTTTACTTTCCCTGTTACCTGAACTCTGTGTGGGGATGTTGTTTTGGGGTTGTTTTGTTTTTTTTTCAGTTTGAGTAGCTTAATTGGTATTTTTATAATACAGGTGTGATAATATTTGTGTTGTGCTTGTTTTATTTTCTAATGAAACAGCACTAAGATTTGGATTTCAGAGGACATCTGTTTGCATATATTTTTTCACTTTAGCTTACCTTTGATGAGTGAATTCAAAGGCAAAACTACATTTCCACTCTTTCAGACCAGGGAAAAGCCTGAAGTGGTGCACCATGCCAGGGACAGCTAGCTAGTGTTCAAGCAGACCTTTTTGGGTGATAAGCTGCCATAAAGACAGCATGAAGTGCTGTTAGGGACTGAACCAGCACAGGACAGAGAGCTGCTGTGAGATTCCTTGAAGTCTTTGGGTGGCCAGGACTGTTGGGTTTTGAGAGCACTGCATTTATCCAGACAAGTTTGTGGTACACTGGAGTTGCTTCCTGTGCTCCTGAGCAGCTCTGTGTTCCAATCACCAGCATGCTGGACAGGAGTGATCTCTGTGCAGAGGTTTCCAAAGGCTGGAAACACCTGACCATATCGGAAGGCACAGCATGGACTGATCGTGGTATTGGTGTTGGACCTCTGCTGCTGGCTTCCATGAGCAGCATCCCTCATTTGTTAAGGAATTCCTGCACCTTATGGGCTGCTTTTGGGGAAGCTCTGTACTGGTGAGATGCAGCCAGACTGCCTTGTTTAGGAAATAATGGGGTTTTTCTTGTTGTTGTTGTGTTTTTTTTTTTTCTTTTTAACTTTTCAGCAGTATTCCATGCACTGATTTACATATATAATATTAAACCTTTGTGTTTGATGCAGTTCTTTGTGAGGAGGGCTTTTGCTTCAAGCATAAGTGGGGAAGATTTCCAAAATGTAGTTAACCTTCATGTCAGTGCTCAGCTTCCAGAACTTCCCCAGATGGGCTTTTGCACCTTACAGCTGTTAGGCAATTAACCCCAGAGAGTCTTGCTCAAATAAGATCTAGTGCCTGAAATATCTGGCCTTGTGATTGTCTTTCTACCATAGCTACTCCTAATTTCGGAGTGAGGATTTGGGATTGCAGTGGACTGTATATCCATATTGCTTGAGAAAAGTTTAAAGTGTAAGGTCATGGCTTCTGGAGGCTGCCAGCAAATGAGAATGACAAATAGGAACATGGAGTTAACACAGAGGAATGATTTCCAGGCATATTCTCGTTCATTAACAAAAAAAAAACACAAAAACAAAACCAACAAAAAAACAGGAGGAATAAAAGAAGTTTGAAGGGTTGGTGAGCCCCTCTCAAACAAGTATTCAGGCAAAGCTACAGAGTAAATGGTCATGGGAATAGAAGAATGAGTGAACCACTTTGGGGTTTTGTTTTTGTGAGTTTTTTACTTTCTCCAGATGTCTTTGCAACCTTATCACTCTTTCCCATATATTTTTCTAGTGAAATAATCATATCTGTTGAGAGAGACTCCTCACAAGCATTATAAATGCAGTGTCACGGCCACTGCTACAAAATCTGAGCTAGCAGGTGATGTTTCTCTGAAAACAGTACCTTTCAGATAGTTTCAGACTTTGCACTCTAGTGTACTGTAACAACAGGTTTAACAAGATATTCTTCCTTTTGCGCATTGGTTCCACCCCCTTAACTTTGTGGAGGCCCCTTTCTTCTGTTGAGGAAATGTTTTTTTTTATGATGGTATGTCATGGGCTGTAGTGGAACTTAGACTGCCTAGGGGCTATGTTGAGACTGCCAAGTCTGTGGAACTGCTCATCTTGACTTTGCAGGACTGTTTTCCCCAGGGGGAAATGCAATCATCAGGTTTATTGTATAGTGACAGATGTTTAATTTGTAAATGTCACGGCAACTTCAAGAGCTCCGTGTTTGGCATATAATGCTTCAAATACTGGTTTTACGTGAGAAGACAGCTATGATGTATGGCTGGAGTTGCTGCAGTTCTTCTTCCTTTTTCATTTGGAGTTCTCTTGGAGAAAATGGCCCCTAACCCTTGGCCGATACCCTGTTACAGTTGAGGTGTGTGTGATGTCTTTTCTTGTCATGATGTGAGTTATGTAAAAATCCTGCTCACATAAGGTCTGTCACAGTCAAAAGTAGTCGGATAGCTCCTTCATTTTCCTTGTCTTTCCATGTCACTTGCCTACAACATTTGGGATAACTGTGTCTCTGGTCATCCAAAACTATTGTGCCACTGCAGTCACAAGGACATTGTGTTGAGTTTTGCAGTTTTGGAGTTTTACTCCGTTCAGTAGATTGGTGCTGTGTGCTCTACTACCTGGCCAAACTCTGCTTGATGTACTGAAATGCCTTCTGGTGTGGAGTAAAGTTCATTAAGCTGGGTAGCAGTTGACAACAGGCTTAAAGATGACTTTTGGCTGCTGTTAATAAATGTTCTTCATGGGCCATCTTAAGACCTTACCCCAACCTACCCTAAAAATTGGTATGGGATGTTATTACTTGTTTGTGAAATAAATTTGTCTAACAGTTGTGTACTGGTTAAATTCAACTGAGCTGCTTAATCTTCTACTTGTAACTCAATGCTTGCAGCAGGAATATGTATACAAAGATTTCTTCTTGTCCAAGTCATGCAGAGTCTGCACAATATGTGGTGATAGTATATCTCTACATTTCCATGTGCTTCTACTGGTTTGTATAAATTGAATTTTAGACGCCCTACTGTCTGTGGTACTGTATGATTTCTCCAGAGTCAAATGTTCTGCCTGTAGTACTTGAAGCAACTGCATTTAAATATTGATTTAAAAAAATGTTATTCATACTGTGCAAATGTTCAGTAGGGAGACCTGCAGCCAAAGCAACAATGTCAAGCTGTGGTGTGGTTCACAGTAAAATTCTGGATTGTGGTTTTGCATTGCTTATCACATGAGTGTAATAATGAGAAAATGAAAAAAATTCCTGTAATTGAAGTGAAGGAAGGAAATGAAAATGTGAGCAAACCTGTAATTTTCACAAGTGCCACAGTTACTGTATTTGCAGTTAATGCAACTACTTCTGTAGTTACAACATACTTTATGTTAATGCAACTACTTTTGTTGTCTTACCACAGATAAATTCTGAGGAGCGTGTTGATACAGCTGATCAGGAGACAGTCTCCTGGGATCACAGTATTCCTGAGGACATAAAGCAAAAAATACAGCCTAAAGAGGTGCCAGCAGAAAGTGTCACTGTCTGGATCGATCCATTAGATGCTACACAAGAATACACAGGTAACTGATTCTTGTTGACAAATCATGTGTGTAATTCTGATGTTTGCCTTTTACACTGGAAGCAAGATAGTAAGTAAAAGGACATCTCTTGTTAAAGTGTCTTATGTCAAAGCTAGCGTGGTTTAATTGAACAGATTGCATCATGAAATCTCTGTAGTTCTCAATTTACATCATTTGCTTTTATGTATTCCAACTCTGAAATTACTTTGGTGCCTTTACGAGTAACTAGTTGCTACAATAAATGGTAACTGTCAATTATGGATTGTACTGGAATTACACATTTCTTTATTTTAGTCATTACTGTGGTGACTCTAAGTATCTTAGATTTTGGGTTTTGTTTCTTTAAATGGAATACTAAGTAAGTATCCTATTTAACTTGATATAAGAAATTTTTTGTTGTCATTTTTCAAAAAAGCATGTATAATTCAGTCTTCCCCCTTTTCAAATGTTTTAGGATGTCACATAAGCAGTTCAAGGCAATCCAACTAAAGTTCTTGCTGAAAAGTACTAAGGAACAACTGGAAAAGTGGGATTTTTTTTTGTGACTATGTAATTGATACAATTATCCTTTCAAGTGGATGTTCTTTGGCTTTTGAATTACCATTTTTGAGCCAATAGAGGATAGGAGGTGAGGCAGAGAAAGGAGAATGGAGTGGCACAGATTGCCATGAAAAGGTATGTTGCATAAGACACAGCTGTTAGCGTTAGATCTGGTAGGAGTATAGGTTACATCTACTGAACAGGAAAAATTGCTGGAAACCTGAAAAGTCTTCAAAGTCTTTTGAAAACTGAAAGGTTATTTGAAGATACATTAAAGTTATATAACTGCAAGAGGCAGAATATAAACTAGTCTTCAGAGAATAATCTGAATAATGTCCTGTCTATTTTCCTTTTGTGTTCTTGGCATCTGATTGTAAACTTGCTCACTTTCTTGTTTTGCCTGCAGAGGATCTTCGACAGTATGTCACGACCATGGTTTGTGTGGCTGTAAATGGTAAACCAGTAATAGGTGTGATACACAAGCCCTTCTCGTCATACACAGGTATCTTCATGCCTTCACCCATTTCCATGATAGTCAGTCATAGGATTAATTGAAATTTGGTGTTTCAGAGAACATCTCTAGGTATAAATGAGAAAATATACCAGCAGCAAAAGGGCACTGCAGCAGACCACACAATTAGAGCTGTAGGTGTGTTCTGTGCTATAAAACCACAAAGGAAAATGCTGCCCTTGTTTAAAATAAAAATGATGCATTTAGAACAAACAAACTGAAAATATTTTAAAAAGCTAAGATCCCTTCAATTAGAGTGCTTATTGCAAACAAAAAAAAAAGTTAAACCTACAAATACGGTTTGATGTGTGCTTTTAGTTTTTAGCAAAAAGAGTTCTTTGCTCATTTAGCAGAATAGCTTGGATCTGTGATAATATACCCAGGAGCTGCTGTATATTCAGTGTGAATTTAAAAAAGATTGAATAAAGATCTTAATGGCAACTGTTTGTGTGTAGCAGGCAAGACTGTCTAGCATAGCCTTATTGATTATCTGACATGTTTTTAATGCCACAGCTGTGAAGTAATTAATTTTTCAGTATTAATGATGTATCAGCAAGCATTGCTGCAAGTTTGACAATTTGCCTGCACTTCTCAAAGCTTCAAAGTAGTTTCAGTATTCATGTTTTGCTGTGTATTTAAAACAGGAATTGCTGTTTACATTTTCCCTTAGGCGATACTGACCTCTAGAGTTCTGAAATTTTGCAGTATCTCTGGAAGAAAAATTAAGTCTAAATAAATGCATTTTGTATTTGTTGTCTTTTTTTGGCCCTAAAACACTAAACACTCAACATTTTGTGCTAAATGTTTTGCTGTCTATAAATATGAATTTAATTACCAGTCACTTAAGTATGTACTATATTCCAATATGCTTCAAGAATCTTGGAGATTTTGGAACATATGTTTTTAGGTGTCAATATCTATCTAAAGAAATGGGTTTTTAGTAATGTTGAGAATTTATCTCCTTTGATAAGAGTGAAGTGTGGAATGTTCAGACATGGAATCAGAGGAGATGCAATGAATTCTGTCATTCTGCGTGACAAGTATTTATCTTCCAAGCTGGAAATACCAATATGTTTTGAGTCAGATTGTTCCTAATACTACCACACAAATACAAAGCAATAAAGGGCAGTCAGCATTGTTATTACACAGAGCTCAGTCTCTTGCCAAACAATCTGGTTCTCTGCTGAGATGAAATTGCCGGGTAGTTTACTAAGTAAATGTCAGATTAATGGTTAGGGGATACCACCTACCAAGCTTGGCTTTGAACTTCATGATGAAATAAGGGGGAAGTTGTGGATTCTGAATTCTGTTCTCTGAAACACAACATCAAATATTTTTCTTAGTAGCACCATCCTCCTGAGCTATTTCCTTCTTTAGCATTACTATCCCTCTGAACAAAATGACTCCACAGCATTTTTAGTATCTGCTTTAAAGGGTAGTGGGGCTTTTTGTTCTTGCATGAAAACATTGTCTGAGGAAATACTGGATGTATTTCTGTCTAGGAGCCATCCTTTTAACTTTGGTGGGTTTCTAATTGCAAATTCTGAATATTAACTACTTGGGATTTTTCCTTCTTATTCTGTGTTTTGGAATTATCACACAAGAACAGCCAGGTTTGGGATAATGCCGTATGCGCCAATATGTGTGTGGCCTGTGTCACTTCCCTTGTACTCACCCCATCCTCTGTCAGCCCTTTCTCTTTTACAGGAGTGAGAGATATTCAGTCAGAAGTATCAATTCCATATTGTTAATAAGTACCCTTTTATCCTTACACTTAGATTGTCTTGTAAATCTTAGTAGAACTTTTGTTTCTCTTGTAGCTTGGGCAATGGTGGATGGTGGGTCAAACGTAAAAGCTCGTTCCTCCTACAACGAGAAGACTCCAAGGATTATTGTGTCCCGCTCCCATGCAGGAAAAGTTGAGCAGGTTGCACGACAGACATTTGGAAATAAAACTGTGATAATCCCCGCTGGTGGAGCAGGTTTGGTTCTTTAAGCATCTCATCCATTTTGTTGCTTCTGGATATTTTAATGGTGTAGCTCTTACTAGGCAAAAGGGTATACTGTAGTGTCTTATCTTTTTCCTTTTGTCTTTTGATCTTTGCATCACTGAAAGCAAACACTTGACAATAGGGACAAAGTTTTTTTCTGTATTTAGGAGCCTACATGCAAACTTGATTCAGACTTCTGGCTGTTCACAAGTCAGTGTGTTACTGAGTCTAAGCCTAGGCCAGCAGTGCTGTTGTGGTCCTTTCATTGATGCACACTGATGTGTGTCATGGAAGGCACTGATGCCTCAGTGGGAGAAAAAGTGTTGTGTGACCACAGGCACAATCATGAAAGAAAACCTGTTGGTTGTTAGTTACCTGTTAGTATGGTTGATTTAAAAAAGAGATTAAGAAAAGGGCCATTGAAGTTTGGTATTGCTTATTGCATTTATGTCAAAAGAGGAAAATTAGTATCACTAAAGTCCATTTTTATCTGCCTCATACTTAATTTAAAGGAATTTTAAAATACTTTTTATTTATGCAATGTCCTTGTGCATGTTATTGACAGAACATAAATGGGAGACACTAGGCTTTTTTTCTTTATTTTCGCAGAAATGTTATCTTTGTGCCTTTAATGTGAAAAGCCAGAATTCCCTTACAGATTGTTTAGTCAAGAATGTCTTGTAGTGCTTCTTGATAATGACTCTAAATGTCAAAGTGAAAGTGTAACTGATTATAGCAGGTCTTGTCCAGGGCTTGACTCTGTTTAAGAAGATAAAGAAATGAACAGATTAATGAATCAAGAATATTGCTTAAGGAGTTGAAAATCTGAAAAAAATCCATAAAAGAATGGATACTAGTTTGAGCAATTACTTTGTAGTGCATAATGAAAGGGGAATGCCCTGGGCTGATTTACTTTATTAAAGAGTGGTATATACATCTTCCTTCTATTGCAGTAAAAAGCCAGGGAGAAAAAGATAGACTTGAGCATGATGTAGAGATTGAGAAATGAATGAGTAAGCATAAGAGCAGAACTATATTTGAGTGTCTGGTCTTCTTCTTGGAATGTGTTTTGACAGGAAAGCTTGGTTTAATTTTTTTTTTTAACCCCTCCCCATTTCTTCCAGGTTATAAAGTGTTGGCCCTCCTTGATGTGCCTGAAAAGAACCAAGAAGAAGCTGATGTGTATATCCATGTCACCTACATTAAGAAGTGGGACATATGTGCTGGAAATGCAGTGTTGAGAGCTTTGGGTGGCCATATGACTACCCTGACTGGTGAAGAAATTAGTTACACTGGCTCAGATGGCAATGAAGGAGGACTTATAGCCAGTATCAACATGAACCATAAAGCACTAATTGAAAAACTACCAGATCTGGAAAAAACATCGCACAAATAAGCATGACTGATGGAGAAGTACAAGTTGTGCTTTTGTAGCCTCCAGATGCTCTGTCTGAAGAAGCAGGTGTGAAAACCTGCTGGAAAAGATGCACAACAAAGCAGTTTGGTGTGGATTTGGGGACTGTATCTTGCATTGGTTTTTGTCAGTGGTGGTATTTAAAAAGAATAAAATAATAATAATAATTGGAAGTAGGAAGGGGACAATGGTCTCGCACATCAGTTTCCATGTTTTATTTTTTTCAGACTGTTTTCATGCAGTTCTTATACTCAAGGTGCATTTACCATATATATTGGTGAACATAGGTGAACTAAGGAAAAATCCAATTTTTTTGGTAAAATAACCTAAGTATTTCTCGCAGGAATTTCTTGAAACCTTTTACATCTTATTGTAGTTTTAGTGATTCCATAATAAATTAGGTAGAAAAAAAGCTTGATTTTTATAGGCATCTGGTAACTGTAATTGGTTTATCAGGAATCATGACCTCGTATTTTGTATCCCCTGAATGGAAAGCACAAGAAGGTTAATTCAAATCTATATGCAGCAACAGTTTATCTTTGACAGTGTGGCACTCTCTGCTTTTTAAGAGAAAAAAGGAAATGTTTTTGACTTCTTTCCTGAAGATGTAAACCAATTTTAGTTCAGGTGGGTTGTGAATATCGGTGTTTTATTAATCAGTGTAATTATTTCCTTATACCTTTTTAAAAGAAGGCAGCATTTCCTTGTATAGTTTTTAGCAGTTTCTTCTTGTCCTTGATTTCTGCAAGCAATGTTGAAGATGCATGCTAGATTTTTCTCTAATGTAGGGCTTGTTCATCATGTGATGTTTGTGCCTATAGAAGCAGCTTCCTTCAGTATCTCTTATTTTGTTTGTTTGGATTTTCTTTCCATTGGACAGAGTCACAGGAAATGAGTTTTACAGAAATAATAGGTTGACTGGTTAGTTCCATTTCCAACACAAGATATAAACCAGCACTTTTTCTACAACTCCAGGAACAGCTTTTTCTTTTTAGCTTGCAGCACACTCTCTCCTGCAGAAAGCTCTTCAGCCATTCCAAACAGCTTGTGCTTATTTGGTTTGTGGTAATTTACAGAGGGAGAAGAAACCATTTGAACTTGAATCTGCTTAAGCAAGTTTGAAGAACTTATGGCACGTGAAGTACAGCAGGGTCTGCAAAATTTTGCTGAAAACAGAAGTCCACAACTTCTAGAGGTACAACAAATTGCCATTTGATATCAAAGGACCTGCATTCTATCTCCAAACATGTAACCATCTGCATTGTTGTTCTCTGCATCTCCCTAAAAGGTTTCAAAAGGTTAAAATATATGTGTTATTTGAATTATCAGAAAATAAGCTGCCCATCTCTCCTCAAGAATGCTAAAATTCTGAGTTAATATAGATGGTTTCTGTTCAAAGTTTGTTCAGTAAAGGCTTAGGCTGCTTGATCCAAACCCTTAATTCTTTAATTTTGACTTCTTTCATATTGTTAATGAGAACTGCTGTTCTGATTAAAAAGAGGTTTTTCTCCTTAGGTCAGTAATGGAGAATGTTTAGATACTACTTTCAACTTCTAGCTGAAGTTCACATTTCCAAAAGACTTCCCAGATGCTGCATAATTACAGATACAGACTTTTATTTCTTAAACTAACTGGCAAAGGAGACTGAAGCTTAGTCCTATGGGCCTTTACAGGTAGTTTTTGGAGAACTTCTTTTCCAACACAGACACTATTGCTGCTGCTCTTTGAAAATAACTTTTACACATGTAGATAATACACAAAGCAATTTTACTTTCAATTCTTAAATTTAAGAAACTTCTATATGCTATAAGTGATCATACCCTTTTTAAAAAGGATTTGATCTATTTCAGAAAGTTGTTGAGCTTCCAAACTTCAGTGAAGACTAAAAGAAACATATTTATCAAGGTTTTAAGATTTTACAAGAAGATTGCAGCTTTTTAAGGCAGATTTAAATGTCTTAAAGCCTAATTTAATAAAAACAGCTGTTTGTATGTTTATTTGTTAAAGAACATGGATTAAAATTTAAATATGAGAAATAGCCGTAGTTAGCCTAGTATAAAAACCTGATTGTGTGACAGAGAAGGAATGCACAATATTTAAGTAGGCAATTAAGATAAAATCTGTGGCAAGTTGGGGTTTTAGAATCAGCTTGAAATCCTATGTAAACATACTTCCTAAAAATGGGACTGCTTTTATTCTGGGGAATGCTTCTATCACATCCTTGCATAAGCTGTGATCAGACTTCCTGTATGGGAAATTAAAAATGTTATGTAATGTACAAGGACTTAGTTGTATCAGTTGAAGGCATAGACCAGTGAACAAAAGTATTTGCCTACATTATTTTTCCTTAGGAAAACAAAGTACCTTAGGAGAGGCCCTCTTTTCCTTCCTCCCACATGCTGGCTAAAATGCCTAGCCTTCCATTAGGAAGACTTGTGCTTGTTTAGACACATTAATATCCTAAATCGCTTTGTTGCAATGGATCACAGTGTTCAGTACCTTTCACAGGGGACCATTATTGGCCTGACCTCACTCCTGGTGAAACTGAGGAGGAGGTGGTGCAGGTGCCCAGTTAATTACTTGTAGTAGAGCCTGAGCTCGTTTCCCACAGTTGAGGGCTAAGGTAGTGCTTGTGGTCTCCCAGCGTAATTTAAAGAGCTCTGGTGTGAGAATAGGTGAGCAGTTGGTGAGTATCAGTTTCAGATGCCATTTTGCAATAAATGTAACTCTTATGCAGACCAGCAAGTATTCACAAGTGCTTGCTTAGTGCACACATCCCGGTGCACTTTGTATGATGTTAACACTCAGCTTGTCATTTCTTTGACTGTTTACACTCCTTTCTGAAACATTCTGCTTAAATTCTGGCTTGAATATTTGTTTGGTCTCATCAGTGTGGATGTGACTTAACCTTATGCCCAGAGGGTAGGAAATCATCCATATCCAAATCTCACTGCTGGGCTACGTCAGTGTTCTTTATATCTTAGCCTTTTCCACATGAAGCTGTCACACACCATTGTTAGGGATGCTACTTCAAACAAATGCATGTTGTAGGTAGGTCCTACAAAAGTATATATTTTAAAAAATCTTCATTAAAAAAAAATCATAGTAGCATTCTAGCTCCAAATAAGGGAAGTAAGAGAATGTATTATTTTAACATTGGTTTTCCAATGGTGGATATTTTGAGTGGCTATTATGATTAAGGTGGTTGCAAGTGAAATTATTCTAAAGCTGTATGTATTTTCTCTTTTTCATTCTTCTAAAAAGAGTGTATGATAGCATAGATAATACCTGGTATTGTACCAAGAGCCCTAGCTTTCATTCCTTGAATGAATATTTTTAAATAAATGGAGACAGAAATTAATGGGTTGAATATTGTATTTAACTGGTTTTGAGATTAACCTGTTTGCCAGACTTTTACAGATGGGTTTAAGAACTGTTTGTTCTGATCTACAGAGCATGTAATGATAATGAAAATACATAGCAGATATGGCATACTTGGAGAGTGAGTTAACGATACAGGTGAAGCTGCAAAGTCATCTAGTGATATTGTTCCATATATTTACTTCATGGTTGTTACAAGGGGCAGATTTTCTAAGTGGCTTCAGGTGTGAGAAAAGTTTTGATTTTGTTTTTTTTAAATGGCCAATGGCTGGAGACCAGAGGTGGGGAGGGGAGTCAGTACAGTATGGGGTTAATCTCTGCTTTTTTGTTTATAAGTAAGTGTCCTACTAGCTTATGTCTTAAATGTCTTACTAGCGTCCTGTTACCTATTTGGGTTGCACAACAGTAGTGCAGTGTTGGATACTTCTGATTTAATGTCTAAAACAAGGAGTCCACATCTCCCAAGAATTGTGGAATGAGAAGTGACCAGGTGTCATTCTGGGCTTCTGCTGTGTTATGCCAGCAGAGAATGGCTGCTTTGTGGTCTCCTGGATGTCATTCCAGTAGCGCTTTCTCTCACAGAAAACTGTTTTTCCAGGCTACTGTCTCCCCAGTTATGCCCAACTTCTTTGTAGATCTGTTTTCTGAAGTAAACAAGCAGTTGAAAGAAGCAGATGGATGTGCAACAGAGGACAATTATTTTTGTTTCTTTGTTTTTAAATTGCAGTAATTGTTTCATGTCTCTTGTCTTTCAGGAGTTAGTTAATGGTACAGGTAAGATTCAATGAACCACAAATAAATGCCTGTGGGATTTTAAGCCCAAGCAGGAGGAGGGCAGGAAGGACAGCCTCTAACCAAGGCAAACTTCAGTGGATGGTTTTCAGTCAGGCCAATCACGCTGAGTCCTTCATCTCTGCTTTAGCGGTTTAGGCCCTTTCACACAAACAGTTACAAATTTGACTTTGCCAAAATATCACTGATAGTCTTGTCTTCTAATGTGCTGTCCTTAGTGATAAAACTGGACTATATCTGCTTCACTGTAATGTAACTCCTTGAGGCAAGAATGTGGTAACTCTGAGGACCAATTGTGACCTGTGAGCCCCACCTTCCTCGTGGCAGCTCTTGCAGTGATGACCTAGTACTTGCTGCATGTGTCTTCCCACCCCATAAGCAGGCCATGCATCCCTATTGAGAAGCTGTTGAAGCCTTATATATTTTGGTTTTCAGGTGCCACAGCAGCTCTTTCAGCTCTTCTGTAAGAAGTGCTCATCCAGTTTCCTCTCTCTGGAGCCATTAATTAGTGGCCATTTTTCCCTCTTTGCTCTTCGTCTCTCTTCCATTCTGATCCTTGATCCTTTTTTAGTCAATGTGCACAAGCAAAATGAGAGACCAGAGATGAAGATAGTCCCAGAATAAGAGGACTCCAGCAGTCAACTATCCAACTTATCCTGAAGCTGGTAATGTTTGGGACTAAGGTCTAAAGCAGTGACTGATTCAACCAGAAGTTGCCAACAAAACAATGGGAACATGGAGAGGTTCATGCAATTAGGGGTACTGAACATACGGTTTGGTAGTTAAACACCCAAAAAGAAGAAGAAAATGGTTTTTCATTATAATGTTATCATAATGTTCCAAGTATTTGTCATTTGTGCCCCCCCAGGTGCAGAGCTTCATTGCTTGTGAAAGAGACTGCATTGGTCCTCTGTGAAAGAATTTGTCGATTTTGTTGAACTCAGTAGCAGTAATCCACAGAACTCAATGTGAGCAACACCAAGTCAGATAAAACAGGAACAGTAAATCTAAATTCTGAAAAGCTCAACCTCTGTCAATAGAGCAAATAACCTGGGTTGTGCTAGTTACCTCTTAACAGCTTCAGTCTGCATTTGGAAATGTCATCCCAGTGTCTGAGGTCTTTCAGGTTTTTTTGTGTTCTACAGCTGATAGAGCTCACTTTCAGGTAACATTGTTTTCTACACCAATTGTTCCTTATTTGCAATACATATTTTATTTATTCTCTCCAAAGGATCAGCAACACTCCAGCATTTCTACTCTTGTCCCACCAAATTGTATTAGCATTTTCCAATTGTGTGCCAAATTGAAGTAACAATTCTATAAATAAATTCTCTGAAAATACTGGTTTGTGAGGGTGTTTGTCTATATTTTTTATTTCTAGGGGGTATTTATTCTTTATGTTCCAGAATTTTTTTTCCAGTAATGCACGTCATGTTGCTTCAGTTGCACTGGATCCATCATGTGTGTGAGACTTCCAGCCTGAGGAGTTACTGATAAGTCCAGCCAAGTTTATGGTAAATATAATTCAAGATCTCCACTGGTTTTGTTTTCATATCTGTGTTGCTGTGAAAGCTGGTCAGTTTGTGAAAGTGAGTGCTTAGAAATCCCCCAGATAGTATTGCTCTTTGGATCTAAATTTTTCTTTCCAGCATCATTTCCACATCTCTTCCTAATTATGTTACACCATTCTGCTCAAATCTGTTTCCATGAGGAGTAGCAGGGCAGTAACTGTACCATTATTAACCCTTATTCTATTAGTGTACCACTCTTCATATGTGAAACCATGGAGCTAGTTGAAAGATCCTTTAATGTCTCACATCAATATGGCATTTTGGGCAGTTCTTGGATGCTACTGCAAATATGTTTCTTTTCACCCTTACCAATATGTGCAAGACTGGATGTACAATGAAATTGTCATCCTGGACTTAGGCAACATATGCCTCAGAGTTGTACACAGATGTTTTGAAAACCCTAGGTCATGTGTGATCTATCAAGATCAGGAATTTGGAGTCTGTTGTGATGCTTCAAACCACTTCAGACAAAATTCAACCTGTCGGAACCCAAAAAACTCCTCTGGCTGCCCTGGAGGACTCGAGCCCCTGCCCAGGGGGCTCAGAGACCTTGGCACGGAGCCCAAGACCCCTGTGCCTTTGATTTAGCCCTTAGAAAAAGCAATTGCCAACCTTATATGAAGAATTACAAGCCACAAAAGTTTAAGTAGAATGATAGTGAATTTATCACAGGGTGAAAAATAGATTTTTTGGGGCTTTTAGAATGGGTGTTCAGTGAGCAAGATGGAGGAATCTGGATGTGTCCAGCCTTTCTCCTTCTTCTTCTTCTTGGCCTCCGTCTTCTGCTGTGATGTTGGCACTTTTAGATTGGTTTAGAGTAGAAGCTCACTGTTTAACATAGAAGATAGGTATTGGAAAGTAATTGTAAATATTGTACATGTAGTTTTTAGTATAAAAATCTAACACCACCCTGGGGGCAGGAAGAGTGCCTCTGACTGTCTTGCTGAGCAGACCTTAGCAGGTTGGGAGAAAGAATATTGTAGATAAGGAACAATAAACAACCCTGAGACCAAGAAATGAAAAATTCTAATGCCTTCTTCTACAGCTGGGCTGGGAAAAGAGACTTTCTAACACATCTCGGGGTCACTCTGACCAGCTAGAGATCCCGAGAGCAATCCAGAGGAGAAGAGATTCTTCCACCTTGCACAGTGAGTCAGTGAATGTCTGTGTGCATGTGGTACATGGCTTGTTGTAAACAGCTGTATCTTTTGGGAAGCCTGAAGGGTCCAGATAGAGGCAGATGTGTGCTCCATGCTGACAGCCCTTTCCATGAGGCTCTCAAATGTGCCTTTCTCACACCTGATCTATCAAATCCTGCCCCAGGGCCAGCATTTTGCAAGTTTCATTATTTAAAGTAGCGTGAAAGGTAGTACGTAACACTGCACAAAAACTATACAGCCCATGGTGGGATCCTGCTTCTCAACAACGTAAACCAAATTTATGTCTCCTGTTTGCCTGTTGAGTCAGCTTCTTGCATATCTTGTGTTCCACAACTTCTTCGTTTTGTTTATTCTCTTCAGACAATCATGCTGTCCATATTTGATTTATAAATGTAAGCTAAGCTTGTTAAAAAATGCAGTAAGTTTAGTTTATGCTGTGCATGCCTGAGAGCCATTTGTATCTTTCTTTCTTTGTACAGTAGCAAGATGGTCCTGAGTAGACTTCTCACCTCTTGGCACACAGGCATCCTGCACACTAAGTACAACCTGCACACAGAATATTTTGAGCTGGAAGCAACCCACAAAGAGACCAGCTCTGAAGTGAACAGCCCATACAGGGACCAAATCCACAAGCTTGGCATCATTTGCAAAACTGTGCTCTAAACAACTGAGCTGAAGGCACTGCTGTCACTAAAAGCCCTCCTACAATATTGCTTCATTCACACTGCTACAATAACTAAACTGTTTTCCAGGATTGGGCTGCACAGCGCTATTTTAACTTGGCTTGGGCCCTAACTCAGTTGTTTCAAGGTATTCTAGGAGTCTGTCAGTCAAAGAGAATTCCTGATCCCCAGCAAGGGGTTGAAGTCCTGCTGGAGAGGATGGAAATTTGGCCTGGCACCAGCAGTGGGTGCAGAAGCAGAGACTGTTCAGTCAGGCAGCTGGGAAAGGGCTGTGGGAATGCTTTGCAATCAGGGCAGACAAAATGGAGTGGCTGCACATCATCTCTGCTGTGGGCATAATCCTGGTGACCCTTTACTTGTCATACATTTTAAGTAAAATTACAGGAATTCTTCCAAATTAACTGCTGTGTTCTAAATAAAAAGCACAACAAACATTGTGCTAATAGGTAATAATTCTGTTATGGTATGGACAGAAATGAAACTTGACAGATTCGGCTGTTATATTTGAAAACTGCTCATTTTTCTTCCAAATGAATGTGTTTTTTATAGAATTAAGGATGTGTCAAGTTTGCAGTGCTCTCATCTGAAATCCACCTGGGCTGGGTAGGTATGTTCTGTTTGTATTTGCAGAGGGCCAATAACATGATGCACGTTCTATTTCTGCAAGGGGATAGTGTTCAACTAAAATAAATAAAGGGGATAAAATAGATATGAGATCTGTACTAGGGGAAAGGAAAGGGCTTTAACCTGCTTCTGATAATATTCTGGAATCTTAATACTTTAACCTGTTGTAAATATTTGTATCAGCAGTAAAGATTTTAGTTTATCTAAGCAAAAGTAAAGTATTTCTTGTATGCAACATTTTCTACTGGAACTGAACTGAAGTAACCCAGATCTCTCTTTGCAATTCTGATAAGATAACAATCTTCTCTTACTAAAATAGTTTTAGGCAGGTGGAACAATGGCTTTTGGAACCTGAACTGCACTCCATCCTGACAGATTTCAACCAAGAACACTACATATGGCAGAAAAGTTTTAGTGTTGACGTTGGGATTTCTAAAACTTAGAACAGACGGGAGCAGAGGCCAGTAGAGGGCTCTGTCTTTTCATGAATCCCCTGAAGAGCCAAAATTATCTTGATGCCTATGAACTTACATTCCTGTTTCATATTTACAAAGAAAAGTCACCTTTTATTTCCTCAGCTTGTGACATGTCTTCAGTTAAGCGGGCACAACTGATACAATTAGATCTTCCTTCAAGATAGCAAAGAATAGGTTTCTTTTTGACCTTTCTTAAAAATGAGAGCAATTGTACCCATCCTTATCTGGAATTGTTACATCTTGAAGCAACTCCATCACAGATTTCCAGGCTCTTTCAGGCCACTGTGCTTGCAAGAACAGTGAACACACTAATATTTTATCAGCTTCTTGCTACTGAGGTTGTTTGGAGTTTATTTATTATCTCTTATATACTTATCTCTTGCCACTGGCATTTCTTGTCCTTTGTGTTCACTTCTCACATTCAGGGAGAAAACAGAAGTCATTTTCTCTTTCAGCCTTTTGCAGGAAGCTAGTTGTGATTTCATCCACAACTGCCTTCCAGTACTGTATTAAAAATGTGATATTTCTTCTTTCTTTGCATTGCCTTTAATTTGTACCACATGGACTTCTAGTGACTGTCAGCTCCAGGACTGTGGGATAGAGAAAAAAAAAGAAAGGTCCATGTGGCCCTTGCTCCAGCTGCCCAGCTGAAGCAAGGGTGCATTGCTCTCCATAGACTCTCAGTCAGCCAAACCTGAGGCAAGATGAGAGAGAGGAGCAGTTCTGGAGAACATCCGTTTGCTCCCTCCCAAACTTCATTCTCCTGCAGGGATGGTTGCTCTCCTACTGAAAGCCAATGTAAATGTGATATTGTCTGCCAGAGGGATGGTACAGATACCAGAAAATCTAACAACAGCAAAAAGAAGAGCTGGGGAAAGCTAGGCATCCTAACTTTAAACAGAGAGCTTGTTTGGGAGTTGTCATTTATGTGTGCAATTCCTTCTGTTAATTATAAATAGCTGCATATTTGAGTGCAATACTTAAAATGTGAAAATGCTTTGGGAGATTTAAGAGAAAAAGGAAAGGAAAGGAAAGGAAAGGAAAGGAAAGGAAAGGAAAGGAAAAAGGAAAGGAAAGGAAAAGGAAAGGAAAGGAAAGGAAAGGAAAGGAAAGGAAAGGAAAGGAAAGGAAAGGAAAGGAAAGGAAAGGAAAGGAAAGGAAAGGAAAGGAAAGGAAAGNAAAGGCATTGTCTGTTTGTTTGAGCAGCTGTCCACACTATAAATTGAAATGCTTTGAATCACTGAGTCTTTCTTGGTCTGTGTTCATCACAGGCACTTTCTGCAGGGCAGTCTCTCTGCATCAGGACTTGGCTGAGCTTCTCTGTGTCTGTGGGGGTGGTGGTTCATTGTCCTACACATTCACTGGGCTCATCACAGGCAAGGCCATCTGCAAACTTGCTGAGGGTGCACTCAAGCCCACTGTGCCGCTGATGGAGGTATAAAACAGTACTGGTCTCAGTGTTGGCCCCCATGGGGCATCGCTCATCACTGAGCTCCCTCTGCCCTCTGGATGGGACCTTCCAGCCAATTCCTCATGCACTGAACACTTCAACTATCAGCTCCACACTTCTGATCCACAGATTCACAACTTGGAGAGAGGGATGATGTAAGGACTATGTCAATGATCAGTCAAACCAAATATTTAGTCTGAAAATTTCATGTCAAAATGAGATGAAAAATCATGATGATTACATATTGACAGCCAAGAAGAAAATATCCATACATGATGTTTAATAAAACTTGCTTTTAAGCCAAAGCAGAAAAAATGCATAGATTAATTACTTAGGTTTTGGTTTGATTTGTGCTTCTTTGTTCTTTTGTTTGTAGG